ATCCATATACAATAAATTTTAGGTACTACCGTTCTCCCCACTGAAAGATAAAAGTTTTAGCAGTACATGTGCAGGAAAACAAAAAGGCCCATTAAACGGGTTTAAGCTGTACTGCAGGTGTGAGTACTTTTATTAATTATATAAAAATATTTTTAATATTATTTTATAATACATATTTCAAACTTGAATAAAGCAAGTAAAGCAAGTAAGGCAAAGATATTTTTGTAGTTATATCTTTTTAAAATATTTCTTTTGTATATTCAGAAATAACCCATTGGTTCTTAAAACTTTTATTTATTTAATTGTTCGTATTTAATTTTTAAACATTATTTTTTAATGTTATGTGTTGTAAAATTATTCATACATATATTCTAATCTATTCTAATTCTATTCTAATAAGTTAAGAGGGCGCCTGCCGATACAATTATTAACAGTTCCTATCGGAGATATATACTGCCCATTATTATTAAATTATTACAAGTGTGAAAAAAGTACAACAATACCTATTACTGAAACAAGTCATTATGGTCTGAAATATTACCTTCATAAATTATAATCATCTGTAAATCCGGAATGCCTCGAAGATGAGGAAACTACCATACATATTCTTTGTGTCTCTCCAGCTTTAATAACGCTCAGAAGAAAGTGGTTTCATATGCAATTTCTGTCACCAGAACATATAAAGACCTCTTCTCTAGACTTAGTTCTGAACTTTGTTCACAAAGCTTTAAGGGGCTTTGTGTAATCAATAGTGAAATTGGTACAATAAGACTCTTCTGGCAGCAGTACCGGCTGTTGGGTGATTTCACTTTTAAACTTTTAATAATAATAATCAGTTGCTTCTATTAATAATGAAGATAACTTAAAAAATATAATTTTTAATCAGAACAACAATTGTAAGAACATAATTATTATTATAGAAAAAAATATTAGTAATACCGACACCGAATTAGTCGGTTATACTAAAATAAATACATAAATAATTTATTATTGTTAACAATTTAAAATGCGAGGAGCAACTCGATATGAAAAGTTATTATTATAATCTTTAATCTTTTTTCAGTTTAATTATAAATCATAGCAGTTAGTCAAAATTAGTATCTTAAATGAGTTCTCGAAAGGGGCGAATAAGTAGTCTACAATATATACTCGTGAGGAAAAATAAGTTTGCGCTAAGGTTTTTTTTTTCATACCAGAGAAAGAAATACAGAATATCTGTAAGGATTATTGCGAAATCGAAATTTTTGCATGATTATTCAGATTAAGATTAATTGAAAAGATGCAGGTAAAAGCTTATACTGATTTAACTGTTTCTATATTAAAATATATATTTTCACTTTATTTTTTTTGCTTTATTTCATTTACATTTTGTTATAAATTTGTTGACATTACGTTTAAGATGTAATTATTATTATATTTTAGTACTGAGATATAGAACGCATACTCTTAGTAACAAAATAGCAATCGATTTGCAAAGACGTGAACTCTGATTTTCAACTCTGACAAAAAGTTCGATGAGCTGAAAAGTTAAATTCTTTAGTTCTTAAGACGATGTAGTGCTACAATAGAAAAGCTTAACAATGTTTAATTAAAATAACCACTTCATATTCAGTATACAATTATACTTAATTCTTTATCAACTGCGGATATAGTAACTCCATAGAGTGAAAACCTAACGCGAGTTTCATCCCACACCTAACTTAGCATTGACATTCACTTAAACCTTATTGCTCTCTGTATATATGGCTTAGAAAAATGTATCTATATAAATAGTAATATGTATCAAGTTTTTTTTTAATTTCTTTCGCTCTCTGTTTATAGGAATAGAATTCCGGGGTGTGTTGTTAAAGGGTTCACAATAAAACTTTCGATGCTTTTCACACGATTTGAGAAACGCACTTAATTGTTTATAAATTCCTTCAATTGTAATCTTGTGAAAATATTTTATTTGTTTATAACTTCAAGTTTCATTTTCTTTAAGTTATTTTAAGTTTTATTTATTTTTAACTTTTTTTATTTTATTTTATTATATTTCCCGTAATTAAAATTCACTTGTGATTTATTGGATTCAGAAAGTTAACAACTTTACAATAATTACAAGCTTCAGTGATTTATCAAACAACAAATAACAGATTCTAGTTTAGTTGACTAGATTTCTATCAGTTACGCATACACACTTATATATACTCATATATTTATATATACATATGTATATACTAATTTTTATATACTAAAATTAAACGACTTTAATTAGTTATGCACAGGTGATTTTTTTTTTAATTCAAAATATTTTTTTGTATAAAATTTATTCATTTAATTGTATTCGACGTTTTTAGCTACTCGTTTAAGCGCGTTTATTTGAATTTTTACTACTTTTATTTGAATTAAAAATTTTATTTGCTCTAAATTGCTGCAAAAACACACTCGAAGTCAACAACAAAACAGTTTAAACGACTTGTTTAAATAAATGGTTAAGAAAAAAAGTATTTAGGCACAAACAAAATATTTTGAAAACTTTTTAAAAGGTCGGCGAGAATTTTTTTAATTTATTCACTTTGAATTTTTTTTTATTAAAATGCATAAACACGTACCAATTTCATAATTTTTTTTTTAAATATGTAAGTTTTTAATGATGCTTAATCACAATTCATATTTAAAAACTTACGAATTTTTTTTAATTATATGAAAACAATTAAATTATATTTTTGCACTTTATTTATTAACCAATTTCCTCCACACAACACTTAATAACCTCACCTCAACGAAGTTTTATTTACTACTGTTATGACTCCACTGTAATATTTTATTTATATTTGTTTTTATACTGTCTTTTTAAAGAATTTTATCGGAGCACATTGAGTGAAAAACATAGAAACGTTTGTCGATGTTTTTAAGTACAAGCGAAAGAGTAACGAGCAGCTGTTGCGTGCTCTTCACAATTCGCTCTTCAGTGGATCAGCATCCATTCAAACAAAATTGTTTGTGTAAATTTGCACATGAAGTTGTTAATCAATCGGTTTGTAAAGGAATTTTCTTGTTCGTTTTTCGGTATTTTTTTTATTTTTTCTTTGCGGTAGTTTCGCTCCTGTCTGTCTGTTCGTTTGTTTATTATTAAACTTGTGCTTGTTTATAAAAAAATGGTAGAGTACACAAAGCCATGATCCAGACATAAGCGAGTACGCAAGCAGCCTGTATTGCATTGCATTCGTTGCAGAGGGAATGACGGCAAAAAAAGTAATAAGCACAGTAAAAATTAAAGAAATTCTGTTCAATAGAAAACGCACATTGTGTGAGGTCTTCAATTTGTTGTTATTAATTGCGGTTTAAATCGGATGGTACATTTTCATTTTAGATGGCTCTATAAAGAGCAGAAAAAGTGCATTTTTCTGTTAATTGTAGAACAGTTCGTTAATTTTGGTAAATTATTGTTAATCGGAAATATGTGACGTAAATAGTTAGCGTTTACTCTGACTAGACTTTGGCAAGATTGTCGAATACACTTTCATTTTTTCACTTATAAATACTTATTTTTGTTTGAAGACAAATTTGAAAATATGTTTCAAATTTTGTTTTGAAAATTTTGTCACACATAAAAATATATACCACAATATAGCCAATGTATATATCAAGTAAAGGTACACTTACTTGATAAGTACGTGATATGTAATTCATTTAGAGATGGTGCATGACCATTAAGTTACGTTCCAACTAATTGGATTTTAACAAGATTTTTCACTATATTTGTATACAAATTTTTGTTTGGAAACAAAATTCGAAAATATTGTATATTTGAGTTCGAATTTAAAAATCTAATTAGATCTAGTGTGGGCGGCGAGAAAAGAGAACATTTTCTGTCAATGTCATTATAATACAAACCAAAAACTGAACAATATTAATATATTTACTTTCTTTAACCGAAGGTCGACTAAGCTTTAGAAACAGAACGTACAAATGCCAGGACATTGTTTGTAAACTGATTACAATATTCCTACATATTTGTTAAGTAATACACCTGACATTGTGTCAAGTGTATCCCCGAAATTTTGCCAGTACAAACTTCTAAATGCTCTCAATGTACGGAAATAAAAAACTAGTAATAACTAGTATATACTCGAAATATTGGAAACCACTTATTGATTCTCTTTATTGGTTAATTAAAAAGGAAAACATAGCTTGCTAAGTATCATGGAGTTAAGGATAATGATGCCGTATAACTTAAAAGTTAAGATGCTATTTTATTTCGAAGTCTCAACAGATTCGGAGAATTGAACACAGCAATTGTATCACTCTAAAGAAGTATTCATTACTTTCAAAATTATGTTCTCTGCAACTAAAAATATTAAACAATTATTGTTAAAGAGACTTGAACGATATGTGTTTCTACATTTTGTTCGTTTTTCCAATTAGCCAAACTATCGAAAAAGCAATATCAATTCGATGTTCAACATTTTCTTTGACACTGACCGCGATTAGTTTTGAAGAAAACTCAACATTTCGATACCTAAATTATATATGTTTTGCGTTACATTATATAGCAACTTTATATAAGCACCACCGTTTTGTATATATGTTTACAAAATGGTCCTGTTAATATGTTATTATGAATGTAATATTTTATTACTTCTCCTCTTTAATTCATTATATATATAATTCTATTGGATTTCGTACAAATTAATTATATCGCATACTAATCAATTGGATTTGGCCTTGAAACAAATATCAAAGACAACCCTGCGTTTTTTTATAACAAGCCTGGTGTTATGAATCGGCTATAATTCTAATTACATTGCATTCAACATAAGCCAAATCATAATTATTACTATATTTAATAATATATGTTACATATCAAGATATAAGAATCAGTTTAAAAGTGATTTCATTATAATTCCATATAAATAATATATTTCATTTTTAATATTTACTCTGCTGACCTTGCTTAATATAATCGTTATACAACACTAAAAAGGGAAATTTTTGAAATATCCCATAACCTACGAACTTGTCAGAAAATTGCACAAATAAATAACAAAATCTACTGAAAAACTTCTATAAAGTAGCGTATGTGCTAATAATTTTAAATAAAATAAGTAGTTATTTATGTTGTAAAATAAAAAAGTAATTTAGATACGTGCTTAAGGCATTGAAGTAAAACGCGCTTAACAATGGGCGAGAATTGCGCGAAAGGTGCAACGCAGAAAATAATTGAAAACAAGGATGCCGATACCAGAGAATTAAACGAGATTTGCAATTTATTATGGGGACCAAGTATACGAAGGGATGTCTTTAGTAGATGGTCGCAAGGTGGGTGGAAATGGGTTAATGTTGCATATATGCACTAGTTGCAAGCTGTGGGGGTGTTTCAACTAAATTACTTGCAAGCGCGTAGTAATCATGCACCACCGCATGCATGTACCGAATTTTGTAAAGTTTTTATTCTACTGGTGGCAATTCATAATTTCATTTCAATTTTCAGGCTTCGTATTTAGTGAAGTTGAACCTTCAGCATTAGTACAAAAACAAGGTGGTCCTTGCGCTGTGATTGCACCTGTGCAAGCTTTTTTAATAAAAATTCTTATTATGGATACGCCGGGTCATTCCTTGAAAGATGTAAATGTTACATATAACATAACAATTTTATATTACACATTAATGTACAATATATTATTTTTAATGATTCCAGCTGACAGATGACAAATGCAAAAAGCTGCTGATAAAGGCGCTGTGTAATATTCTGCAAAAATGTAAAGCGCAAAAACAGAGAATCGTGTATCTGCCGCAGGATTCATTTCAAACAGAAGCCAAAGAAACATGTAATGCTAATACAGTCGTTAATGTTGACAACCAAGACGCTTGTACGACAGCTAAAGGAGAGGCAGATAAAGTAGCGGCTGCTGAGCTGTCACCTGAGCAATTTCATAATCAAATTCAGGTGCTTAATTTTCGAACGGTGGAAGAAGTGGAAATGTATTACACTGAAAACTTTCATGTGCTGTCGGCACAATTTGGCGTACTGCTATTTATGTATACTGTGTTATTAACAAAGGTATTATTTCATAAAAAAAAGAAATTCATACAGTGGAGATCGGTTTTTAAGGTGTTGACTGTAAATAATCAAGAAAAAGAGCAATGAACAAGTTAAGAATGGTACATGCTATTGTAAGTTAATTTGTTTTAGTTTGGCAGGTCCCACTGTATTCTCTTTCTGTTATAAATAAGTATATTAAACACGAACTATTTCACAGGGTATAGATAACGTGAATTCTGAGCTCTCCGACACATCAGAACCGCTCATACATAACACTTACGGCTATGGTTCACAGGCTTTAATAAATTTAATGTTAACTGGTCGAGCAGTTGCACATGTTTGGGACAACGATCAGGATGTTGGTGGTTTGAAACTACGGGGCATTAATGAACAAAGCGATATTGGTTTCATAACGTTGATGGAACAAATGCGTTATTGCACTGTAGGTTCGTTTTATAAAAATCCATGTAATCCAGTTTGGGTTATGGGCTCCGAAACGCACTTGACTGGTTCGTAAAAGACTTAAAATTTATTCTTAATACTTTAAAAATTCTAATAAAAATTAATATTTATATTACAGTGTTATTTAGTACTGAAAAGAGGCTGGTTTCGCCGGAAACTCCTTCAGAAATAGCGAGGCGAGTTTTTAAATCGTTCGATCCTGACGGCAACAATTTTATAGCTGCGCCTGTATTGCAAGATGTAATGGCAACGTTGGATTTGGTTAGTGAACAGGAATAGTATGTTTATTTTCACTATTTAGTAGAAGAGTTAGTAAAAAACTTTACATCTATCGCATATCTTTTCATAGTGTGGAAATAATGCAAAAACGTTTAGACCCTGAAGGATTGGGGATAATACTTTTAAATGCATTTATGGATGAATTCTTTCCACGGGAAAAACGTTCTACACCAGATACATTTGATTTAATGCACTATAATGGTATACCAGGTTCAAATGAAGGAAACAAGGTTTGTCTTTATTATTTTCTTAAAGTATACATGTACTTGGTCTTGGGGGTTGTAGTTGAAGAATTTCTATTTAATAGTTTAACTTTTGTTGGATATTAATGTGAACTAGAGTTAAAATATTGCTGTTATTGTCCTATTAGTAGTGAGTCACACTTGCCGAATGTCAGTACTTATGCCTTTAATTATTAGTTATACTTTTGTGATAGATTAAGCACTTAATGCTTGCGTGAGTGAAGTAGGGCAATTCATATGCAGTTTACATTTTTTAATATATAACTAATCACATTAGTGAATGATATTGGGTGCGTTTTGTGATGCCTTCTCTTAAATAGATATAGATGCTAAAAATAATTTTTAATAACACATAATTGTATTATATATAATTATATATGTTATTTTGAGTATATTAATTTACTACTAATTTATTTTAATTATATGAGTTTTATAGGTGGGGCTTGTTTTAAATGTTTTAGCTTATTATGGTTATCTTTGGGGATCCACTTAGGTTTGTCAGTTATTATTATTATCTGTTATCATTTTTGAATATTTAGGATGTTACAATCACATAACTGATATTTATCAAAAATAAAAGAGAGTACATAAATTTTTGCTCCACAACTATTTTAAAATGATACTCATTCCTCGTTATTATTAAACTTTTCACTTCTTTATTATAGGTACGCTATTACAGGGGATCTGCCATTTTACTTGAAAGCGATTTAAAATCGGTTTGTGTGTCGAATCCCATGATGACATGCTTACAAACGAAATGGCCAAATATTGAAATAAACTGGCACGATATGCGAATACCATCACTAAATTGACCTAACCACGCATTACCAACATCAACCAATAGATTAACAAC